GTGGTGGTGGTGGTGGTGGTGGTGGTGGTGGTGGTGGTGGTGATGGTGATGATGATGATGATGATGATGATGATGATGAGGAGGAGGAGGAGGAGGAGGAGGAAATCATAGAGGAAGATGAAAAGATGGAAGAGGAGGATACACATCAACATAGCTTCTCTGGGGTACCTGCCCAGCACTCAGTGCTAGACTGAGCATTTGACCGAATTGCACACATTATCTCACTTAATCCTTAGAATGGTCCATGAGGTGAGTATTATCTCACGGATGAGGAAATAGAGAGTCAAGGAGGTTAATAACTTGCCTGCCGCCACAGCACTAGCAGGTGGTAGAGGCAGAAGTCACAAACCCCATGTGAGATTAGCTTGCCTCAAAGTCAGAAAAGACAGAGCAGAGCAGCCAAGCCAAGAAGGAGTGGGGAAGCCTCAGAGACTGGCTGGTCCCTTTTCATATTGGGATTGAGTGGGAGCATGGAGTTGCTGAGGTCACATGACAATTGGACCAGACCACAGCTGTCAGCCAAAACTTAAACCAGAACCCATGGCCTCCAGATGACACCAATACAACAAAGCCTCAGAGATCCACAGCACAAGACCTAGAGGGAGGCTTCAAGAGTGACATGCCGGGGTCCAGCGCCGGGCTGCCACCTCTCAGGGAACTGGAGAATCCCCTCAGAGAAGCTAAAGGCAGAAGGCTGGAATGTGGGGAGCACAAAACCGAGTGGGGAGGGCAAACTCCATTCAAGCCCCCAGAACAACAGAGAAATGGAAGGATCCCATCCCTCTATAGGCACTGGGTCCTTGGGGCCATCCAATATCACTTCCCCAGATCCCACTTCAAAACACAACATTGAGATTGGGGGGTGTAACCCCATCATTCGACAGTTCACCTACTATGCTCAAAACCCTGAGTTGAATCCCCAGCACTGCATAAACTGGGCATGGGAGCACATACCTGTAATCCCAGTACTCAGGATGTGGAGACAGGGAAATCAAAAGTCTAAGGTCATTCTTGGCTGCATAGTGAATTCAAGAAGAGCTTGAGATACATAAGCCTGTTTCAACAAATCAGAACAGAGCAGAACGGAGTAAAACTTCCTCTCCGACTCACTTGCTGAGTTAACGTATGTGAGATACCCATCACAGTGCCTGCAGATGGTAGATACTCTGAAGATGGGCCTCCATTTCCTTCTTGTGCTGGTGTGTTTCCAGTGAATAATACATCCTCTGAAGGAAGGGTTGCCTTTGACCTATAGTTTATTGAGCATCTATTAAAGGCAGAATATTGCACCATGAAACCCTTTCACGCAGCTACCCCGAGCCCTTGATTTTCTGCAGGACTCCACTGCCTTACTCTGCTCCTGTGGCCTGTTCCATCCTTCCATGGGCTCCAGTCAGCTTTGAAACTCTTGTGGTCCACCTCCAAAGGTATTTCCAGCCTCAACCATTTCACCTGTGAAACATGGAGTATCTTCCCAGGGTCCCCTAGGCTATGAGGTCAATCCATCTCAGGTCACACACACACACAACGTATACTGTGTAGCCATAGAAGAGCATACCAGTGATTCAAGGACCATCACAAGATGGGAGATCCACCCCCCATGACCCTTAGTTTAACCCAAGAGCTCTCCTCCACCAACATCCCAGGATTTCTCCTGCTCAAGAGTCCCACTCCACTGGGAGGATGGTGACATGTCAGTAGGCTGTCTTCCTGCCTGCTTTTCTCACCTGCCCTAGGCAGAATTGTGTTGTGGTTGTGGCTCCGAGTCTGTCCGCCCTTGGAGCCTTCCTCTTAGCATTAAGAAAGAACACAGGACAGTTTTACTTCCACCCCCGGCTCTTCTGCTTGCCAGCTGTGTGACTGGGAGCCAGTCACTTAACCTCTCTGAGTTTCAGTTCCCATAAAGTAAGACGACAGCAATCGCTACACGCCTCCTGGGGTTAGTGAAAGGATTAAATGAGATAATGCCACTAGAACGACCTGCGTACTGCCTGGCTCACAGGAGGAGCTCGATAAATGGAAGCTGTGATTATTACACTCAAGTCCCCACCTCCAGATCAATTGCTCCATCTCTCTGCACTCCCTGTGTGAGATCAGCTCCGGGCCCTGTGGGAAACAGAGCTGAGGAAAGTCCTTTCCCTGGCTAGGCTCCACCTCGGGTCATCTCGGAGGGTCAGGCCAGCCACACATGGCTGGGGACAGCTGCTGGTTCCATTAGCAGCCAGGGAAAGGAGCAAAACCATGCATTCCCCTAAGGGCCAGACTATTTTCCACTTGGTCCTCAGATAATGGAGGCACAGTAAATCCTGCGAAGGGGACAGGCAGCGCAGAGGAGGCTATGCTGGGGGCGGGGGAGGGGCCAGGGGGGCCTCCTACTCCCAGCTATCTCTGTCCATGGCCTCAAACAACACCTCAGAGACTCCCAGCCTCACCCTGACTGCTTGGATGCTTGATCCATTTCCCCTTCCTGTTCCCAGGGAGAGATGACGTTATGGGTGGTACGTGGCCATTCCATCAGTGTTGCTACAGCTCTGCTTCAGCTCACAGTGCAGGAAGGAAGGGGTTCCTGGAGCAGCTGAGCCCAGATTCCTTTCTTCTTGGCTGTTCTCCAGAGAACTGAAGGCTTCACAGAAGCATGACCACTCCTTAGGCTTGGCTGTGGCTCCAATAAGGTACAGATGGCCACAGAGGAGGGTAGAGGGATGCCAGGGTCTGGGCAGGTAGGTATAGGATGGGGTGGCAGCACAGAGTTGGGAAGTGGAATGGAGGATAGGACCCCACCCCTCTTCCTGAAAGAGCCTTTATCCCAAAGGAAGTAGCTTCCAAGCAGAGGTTCCGGCAGGCTTTTCATTACAGAAGTGCAGAGTGGTGGTTAGTGGCCAGAGACTGACCAGCAGTCAGCTGAGCTCTCTCCCGTGCCCCTCCCCAGAGACATACAGACTCAGTCTTGTTCTCGGCATGGCTGAGGCTGCAGAACAAGGCACAGGCTGCAGGAGAGCCAGAGGCAGAACAGACACCGAGCTAAGGCACCCTGCTAACACCATGGCCCATGAAGAAGCCCCATGTGCCAACTGTGTGCCTCCTATAGCTCCACCCCAAAAGAAAGGTTTGGGTTCTACTCGAAAAGCTGGGCCAGGTAAGAAGTGCTGACTGCAGAGTCCTGGAAGGGTCTCTAGGGAGCTGAAGAAGCAGGAATATTGTCTAGAGGGCTGACAGGATACTCACAGATCCAAGGCAACGAGCCGGAGCCCGGACTGGGGGGACAGGAATGGGCAACAATGGGCAACCTGGGGCAGCTGATCATCAGTTCCTTCCAGCAAGGATTTGGTGGTCCCTACTCCTGTGCTTGCTCACAAAACAGTCACTGGACAGATAAATGAGTGAATGAGTGAATGAATGAATGGGCAAGCCAATCTTAAAGGCTAGAATATACACACGGAGGAGACAGAGTGACTTCTTTTTCAGAATCCCAAGAGTACTTTCCATCAGATCTCTGTGTCCAAGCATTGCCCAGTGCACCTTTGTACCAGGACAGTGTGGTTCTATCCAGGTCTTCACTGTCTAGATGCAGCACGCTGCTGACATCGAGAGAGCACTGTTCTGGGAGTCACCAGACCTTTGCCTCCTAACTCTGTTACTTGTTGCTGTAAGGCCATGGACCAGTCTTCCCTAGGTTCCAGGATACTTTGTTTGTAGATGGTGAGGTCAGACAAGGTCCTTGATACCCCCCTAGAGGGTGACTCTCCTGTGTTTCTAGAACACACAAGCAGCTGCGGAGCTGTCCATCTGAGCACATCTGTGCTCCCTTCCTCCTCCATACAGCTACCAGCTGAGGCAGAGTCTGTGATTTAAATGCTCCTATGCGTCCATCAGAGTCCCTCACCCTGGACCCCAGAGTCGCACATAATTCCATAGGTTCCGACACTGGAATGGCTAGCAGGCGATGGGGCCAGTCCACAGCCATCGGAAAACTCAGTTCAGAACCATAAGTACTTATTAATCAAGTATCTATTGTGTACAGACCACTGTGCCCGACACAGTGAGGGCCAGGAAGGGGTCTGCCAGGGAAGTATTCAACCCCCCTTCCCCTTCTGCTGTGCACAGCTCCCCTCCCCCGACTAGAATACACCTCCACCCCCACACTCTGGGCCTGAGAAGAATGGCCACTGCCCCAGTAGCTGGGAGCTCTCCAAAACAGAGGGGGCTGGGCACACTGTCTGGGCACGAGTAGGCTGCTACCACCAGCTGGGGTGCGCTTTGCCAGGCAGATAGGCTGGAAGGGAAGACCACAGCTTTTCAACAAGTATCAGGGATGAGCTATTAGAGGCTCCCTCCTGGGCTCCGTCTTGCTGGGCATTGCCTGGGCGCCCCACAGCCACCAGCATCCCTCCTCTTCTAATTATGCTGCTCCGTGCATTCATTCCCCTTGGTCTGAAGCTGGTTTGCCACCGTGACTGCGGACTGCACTGGCCTCTCCAGTTAGGTGGGACCAATGACAACAGAGCTGAGGGGGTGTCAAAAATGCCCATTTCCAAATGGAGGAGTCCCTCCCCTCCCCCAAGATGCACTCTCCCTGCAATGCCAAATGCACTTTGCAAGCGACGGGAAGAGGGAGCGAGGGCTGGCTTCTGCTTGGAGATGAAGCCCTCCTTCCTCTGTCTCCAAACTCCATTAAGCATTCTGGAAGAGATGGAAATGATTATGGAGAGGAGAGAGAGATAGAAAGAGGGAGAGAGAGAAAGCAGAGAGATTGTGGGAGGGAGGAGAGCAAGGGAAAGAGGAGGAAAGGGGAGGAGAGAGGGTGGACCAGCCCCAGAGTGGACACATACACACACACACACACACACACACACACACACACCACAGATCCCCTTATCTGATTAAGGATCCAAGGAAAGTCAAAAGCTTCAGGAAAATTAAAATGACCTACGGGGTTACCCAGCCAAGATCGGCAGGCAGATTACAAAGCTCAAGTCCAGTGGGATTTCCTCTGCTCTGGAGAGTCCCCTGGCTCTGACCTTAAACACAAGGGCAGAGAATCATCCAGGGTGGGGGAGCTCAGAATGGCCCAGACTAAGAGCCCAGTGGTAGGAAATCTGTATCTATTTCTCTGCAAAGCCCAGAGGAGAGGACAGAGACAGACAGGCACTTTTGTTTACTTAAAAGCTTGAAAAAAAAAATCAGTGTTTCTCCTCCATAGTTCTCTGATGTCTGGTTATGGGCTCTTCCCAAAATTTAAAAGCAACTTCCTCCTGGCACACTGACCCCATGACCTGCACACCCAAGAGTGCTACAGCCCATAATAACCTCCCATCAATATCTTAGACCAGCACCTTCTCCTTCTCGGCTTCAACATTCCCTACTATAAGATGGGTGGAATGATCTAGACAGACTTGGGTATACCAAGGTTTTAAGGCAGCCTGGGAAGAAGACTGCATGAGGAGCTGGCCACAAGAAGCAGTTGCATCCAGCTGATGACTCTGTCCCAGTGTGACAGAAAGAACAGGGTTAAAATGAATCACTCTGTGAGCCAGCCCAGGACTGGACTGACAAGGAGAAGAAAGTTTAAAAGCTAGACACCCACCTAAGACGGGAGTTCCCCTCCAGCATGCCCTGCTGCACCATTTACTAAGCACACATATTTGCAAACATCCCAGAATACGCATGTTAGGGAACTAACAAGTTGCCTGGCATTGAAAAGATACTACACACACATTGTCAGATAGCTTAATAAACACCCACAACTTTTTTCCCCCTGATTGGAATATTTTGCTTTTTTTTCTCTCTCTCTCTCTCTATCTCTTTTGTTTTGGGAAGAGTTCATTTTGTATCGTGTTGCAACCAGGCAGTGGTATTAACGTAGCAACGCAGCCAGGCCTAGAACAGCACTGCAGATTGTCTGAACACTCTGGCTTTGTGGGAGCCAGTTAACTCTGGGCAAGACCACTCTGGGCCCCCGGGAACCACTGACTGCAGCTGCATTTCTGTATTCCTCGAGAACCACTAAGAGTTTGGGTGCTAGGCGTGAATCACTCTATTTTGGCTTCTGGCAAGTTTGTCCCTGGAACTGTCATAGCCTAGCCCTGGGTTGGGGGTGGGGGTTGAGTATCAGATTGTTCCAATGCTTCATGCTTTCTCCCATGTCAGCTGTAAGATGTTCTTGCATGCTTCTCAGCCTTCTATGCCTGGCCTGTGAAAAGAAGGTGCTGCTGATGGCATGGTGAAGGTCACGAGAGGCATCCCCCAGGGTAGAGGTCTAGGAAGGCATACACACTTCTTCATGCACTGAGTATGCATCCCCCACACAGAGACTAGGTAGGTTCCTAGGACCTGCCAAGAACTGTGCCAGGCATTGGGATCAGCTTTTCTCTAATGTCTTGCTCCTGAGCAACATGGCAAAGGAAAAAAAAAAAACACTACAAAAACAAAATGTCTCAGGGGCCTTTGTTTAGGTAGCTTCTTTGCATGGACTTCTCTCTATTTCTACCTATAAGCTCTCCTCGGAGGACCAGCTCTTTCAACAGGCTTCTGCCAGACATCCAGGTGGAATTCTTTGCTTCGCTCTCACAGGTCCTTCACATTCCATTCTTGTCTGCATCTGTTTCTGGAGCTCGTTTCTGCCAGGCATCCTGCTGCGACACATTTTAGTCACTCCAGTCCTAAGAACATTCCCAGGGGTAGCCAACCCTCTCTCCATTTTGTGACTGACATGTGAGGCTTAGCCAGTGAGATAAGTAATTGGCCTAAGATATTAGAGCTCACTCCAGTGCAGATAACACTGTAAGCAGGTCTTCAGTGGGTAGAACCTTGCCAGGTGATGGCTTTCCCTGCCACGGATGGTGCTGTAGCCACAGCTTTTGTTCTTGACCCTCTCCAGGGGTCCCTTGTCTTGTGCACACTTGGCCACAATACACAGTGTCCCTCCTTATCCATAGTTTTGCCTTCAGAAGTTTCATTACCCTTGACTAGCTAGAGCCTGAGAATATTAAGTGGGGAATTCCATAAAACAGCTGGATAAACCCATCTGGCATGCAGCAGCCATGAGTGGGCTGAGAGCCAATAGGTCAGGGACAGATGGATTGTTGCATAGGGGACTTCAGGACCGTGGACAGAGCCAGTGGTTCAATCTGAATGCATGGAAGGGAAGAGCAATCATTTCAGAGGATTGGGCATGGTGAGGGGGCAGGGGGCAGGTGAGCAAAGGCCTGAGAAAGGGAATGTGGCTCAACAGTCAAGTGCTTCAGAGGAGGCCTGGCCACTCCTCTCTCTTTCCCCTTCAGTTAATCTCTGCTGGTAGCAAGGCAATATTTTTAAATCTGAATCAGATCAATCGTTTCTTTGCTTCACCTTTTGGGTTCCTTCCCTTCATGATCAGAACAGCCAAACTTCCTTACTCTGGCCTCCAAGGCAACAGGACCAGGCCCTTGTTAATTCTGGTCTCATCTACTCCTGACTCCCTTCCTTCCCAGAAACACTGGCCTCCCTGATACTCCTTGAAGATGCCCAGTGCACTGTTACCTTGGGACCTTAACACCTGCTACTCTCATGCCTAAAACCCTCCCTCCCAATATGCATGCCTCCCTCCTTTCACCTCACTTCTAAACTTAAATCTTACTTCTCATGGACGGTCCAAATGGTATGCCTCTCCCATGACACACACACACACACACCACACCAGCTATCTCTTTTCCATTACACTGTTTATGTGCTTGTTCATTGTCTGCCGCTCATTGGGATGCAGGCTCCATGAAAGAAGGGCATCTTAGTTAGGGTCTCCATTTCTGTGATGAGACACCGTGACCAAAGGCAAGTAGGGGGGTAGAGGGTTTATTTGGCTTGCTTGCACTTCCACATGATTGAAGGAAGTCGGGGCAGGAACTCAAGCAGAACAAGATCCTGGAGGCAGGAGCTGATGCAGAGGCCATAGAAGGGTGCTTCTTACTGGCTTGCTCTCCATGGCTTGCTCAGCCTGCTTTCTTATAGAACCCGGGATCACCAGCCCAGAGATGGCACAATGGGCTGGGCCCTCCCCCATCAATCACTAATTAAGAAAATGCCGTACAGCCAGATCTTATTGGAACATTTTCCCAATGGAGGTTCCCTCCTCTGAGATGACTTTAGCTTGTGTCAAGCTGACATAAAACTAGCCAGCACCGAGGGAGTGTTAAAATTTTGTTTAATGTTTCCTCTCTAGTGCCTAGTACACTCCATCATGCCCTGCACATGATAAGGACTACTCAGTTACACTTGCTGAATGAAGGAGTGGAGCTCAAGGGGTGAACCACCTCATTCTTGAATAAACCAGTAGCCAGGAGGTCCCTGGTATCCTCTTCTGGACACGGCCTGACAGGATGGAGCAGGCTACAGCAGCAAGGAGGCCTGTGAGGGAAGAAAGTGGAACAGGGAAAGAACATGTGGTCCCTGTCAAGGGAAGCAAGGTTGAACAGCGCCTGTGTCAAGGATGCAGGAGACTTAGATATACTCTTGTCAGGAAAGAGTGCCTTGGTGGGGAAGGGAAGGGGAGGGGAGGAGGGAGGGGAAACTGTGGATAGTATATAAAACAAATGAAAATTTAAATTAAATTAAATTTTAAAAGAAAGAGTTGGGCTAGAGAGATGGTGCAGTGGTTAAGGGCACTAACTGCTGAGGCAGGGCACACAGTTTGGTGCCTGGCACCCACATGATGGCTAACAAGCATCTGTCATTCTAGTTCCAAGGGATCCAACACTTCTCCAGCCTCCACAGGCATGCACACTTGTGGTACACAGATATACGTACAGGTAAAAATATGAATGAACATGAAATAAAAATAAATGAGCAAATGATTTAAAAGGGGGTGAGCTGAGGAAGAGGGTGAGGCAGAAGACACAGGAGGAGGGAGCACGATTCAATTGTCAACCCCCAAAGACACAAAAGAGCTGTAAATTGCTGATCAAATAGAGCAGATTACCCCTGCCCCGCACCATCCACCCTCAGAGCAGGAAGATTGTGTGCTCATGGGAAATACAACCCCGAGGACCTCTTGTGAGCTTTCACTTTTCCTCTGTCTAGGTTACCTCACTGGAAATCCAGGGTTGAAGAGTCCTACTGCCTGGACTGCAGGGAGAGGAAAGGAGAGGAAAGGAGAGGCCTCCTTTGCGAAGTGTCTGACTTTGGGGATCACTCAACAAAACCATCTCTCTGAGTCTACGAAAGATGGCTCAGCAGTATGAACACTTACTGCTCTTCCAGAGGATCCAAGAATTCAGTTCCTAGTACCCATGTCAGGTGGCACATAGTTGCCTTTAACTCCAGTTCCAGGGGATGCAACTGCAACTCTTCCAGCCTCCATGGGCACCTGAATGCATGCGTGTTCTCTCTCTCTCTCTCTCTCTCTCTCTCTCTCTCTCTCTCTCTCTCTCTCTCTCTCTCTC